TCTCTCTCTCTCTCTCTCTCTCTCTCTCTCTCTCTCTCTCTCTCTCTCTCGCTCGCTCGGTCGCTCACTTTCACTTTCGCACGTGCGGTTTTCTCTTTTTTTTAATAAAATAAAGGTCTCAATGGACCACGAATCAGGGGTTTATAACTTTGTAGTTAGAATGCATTATTATTATTTTTTTTTTTTGGGGGGGGTAAAGGGTCTTGATGGACCACGGATCAAATTTGAAATTGATCGGAGCAGATACTACACTTGATTGTGTGGGGGGGGAGGGTTGTGTCATAGTTAGTTAGATTGGGGTAAGGTCTCAATTTCTCTCTCTCTCTCCCTCTCTCTCTCTCTCTCTTTCTCTCTCTGTGCGTCCCGCGAGCACGCGCGTTCACGTTGCACCAAGCTCACGAAGAATGTAGATCGAAGCACGAAGTTCACGTAGCAAGAACCATCAAGTTCACCTAGCAAATAGCAGAGAGATGAGAGACAGAGAGGATAGAGCGAGTTTTTTTTTTTTGTTTTTTTTTTTTGGCAAGGTTCTCGATGGACCACGGATCAAATTTGAAATTGATCGGAGCAGATACTACACTTGATTGTGTGGGGGAGGAAGCTTTTTTTTCTGTCAATGTTTGGTTCTTACGCAAAGAAATAAGTAAAAGAGAACAACAATAAACCAGATTGCAGCATCTCACGGAAGACCAGACATAATTGAGCCAAACCGAAAGCAGTAATCAAAGCGAAATGCACACCAAATGGGAACGAGCAATACACCGAAGTCTCTTGATAAGGGAAGTCCTTCCGCCGCCTCCAATCATCAATACAATGGCGTCCTGAATGTCCATCGTACTTCCTAGCTCTTACATATCTAGCCTAATAAGCCTATCTAGATGCCAACAATTTTCCATGAGTCAATTGTCCATTGTCGCTTAAAGACTCTGATCGAACAGCCTGCCTTCATCAAGCACCATGTACTTGCCTCGTTCTCATCACCTCCCTTCTATGTCCTTCTCCCTTCTCCCACCACGGACCTCTCCACTTCCACCTCTCGGCAGTGGAGCGCTCAGCCTGGCTATTACTGACACTCTCCTCCTCCTTCCTCTCTGCCACCACAGCAGCTTCCCCATAGGCACAACACTCAGCTACTGCTCCAGCAGTGCTGCCTCATTGGCACAATGCCTGAATGTGTGATCCCAGGCAGCCTCCTATTCATAGCGTGCTGGAATGTACCGGGTGCATTACAGAGCCCAAACGACTTCACCACAAACTCATACAGTCCATACCTGGTCTAAATGCAGTCTTCTGCTGATCCTTGTATTTGACAATACTCAAGACTTCAAATTTATCTTGCTGAAGTACCTGCCTCCTTGCACTCTATCCAAGAGGTCATCAATGTGGGGTACGGGCTCTGTGTTGCGCACAGTGATGGCGTCGAGGCCCAAATAGTCCATGCACATCCTTAAGTGTACCCCCTTCTTTGTTGCGAACAGAACTGGCGCGCTGTAAGGCGAAGTCTAGGTGTGATCCAACCTTTGTCAGTTAGTTCCTTGAGCTGCTTGCTTAGTTCATCCAACTCCACTAGAAACATTTTGTAAATGCTGCCCCTGAGCACTTATCTTCATGGAACAATCTCTATTGCATGAACTATCTCCCTATCCACAACTCCTGTTGGCGCCTCCTGTAGGCCTGGATACCTTGCAACGACTCATTCTATCTTTGCAGGGTTCTGCCTGGCCTGCCCCTTATCCACAACTCCTGCTGGCCCCTCCTGTAGGCCTGGATACCTTGCAACGACTTATTCTATCTTTGCAGGATTCTGCCCGGCCTGCCGCATTGAGAAACATATACTCGGTACATACATAGGAAGATTGTCATGCCAGGCCGGGCACCCGGGAGCAGCGCCTGGGGGTGGTCTGACGTCCGAGGTACCCCGACGTGTAAAAAAAACGCTCTCCCAGACGACCCCAAATCTGGTCTCTTTTCTTTTTTTCAGACTTGGCTGTCAAGGTGGAGAAAGGGGGGTATAAATTGGTTTTAAAGGGGCTAAAGGGGTTTAAAGGGGGGTGCCTTAGTGTGATTCTGTTATTTCTTTTTTTATCTCCGATTCTGTGAGAAATTCTGATGTGACCCTCAACCAAAAGTCGTTTGTATTGCAATTGTACACAAACTAATTTTTTTCCAGATTTTTTTTTTTTTTTTTTTTTTTTGGTGCTGGGGCTGCTCGGAACCCTGCCCTGAGGTCATGCCCGGCTGGGCACCTGGGCGTGTATCCGGGCACAAGTTGGGTGCCCCGGCGCCCGGGAAAACAGCCTAGGTACATACCCTCCTCTTGGTGCAGCTTATAATAGCTGTAGAATGCACTAGCGCAAGAACAACCATAGGAGTCTGCCAACTTTTGAAGACTATACTTCTTCAGAAGAACTATCGTCCCCTCAGGCACTTTGTACTTCATAGCTTCCTTTCCCAGTCGAACTGGGGCTTTGCAACCTCCAAGTAGTACATCCCTAGGATTATGTAAAATGGGAGATCGTTGCTCACCAGAAATGACAACTGGGGCATTATCTTCCCTTCCCCATAGGAGAACGTGCACACAAGCCCGGACGCAATCCTGCACCACGATCATCTACTTGTTGCCCAAGGTAGATTCTACAGGTCTAATCAGCCGCACTTGGTCCCCTAAGTGCAACTAATCTATACAAGCATGACTAATATAGTTGCGCGTGGAACCAATGTCTGCCAGAGGCCCTGCTTTACCACCACCTACACCGACTTCCATTACAATCACATCGCCTTTGGGACCCTCTGGCATTGTCACCCAGGAAGCCATGAGGTCTGTCAGCGACCACTCTAACTCTAGCTCCTCCAAGGATTCAGTCACGATGTCACTCACGCGAAGAGAGCAACACTTGGTCAGACTATGACTAAGGGGTGAGAGCAAGGTCAGTAGCGACAATCATCCTATTCTGAGAAGTTGAGGGAGTGTCTAGCATGCTGGGACTCTATCTCCTACTCTTCAGACTTTGTAGAAGCAACTACTACTTCTACTGGCTCATTGAGTTTCCTGGCTTCGTCTTGGGACAATGCTTCTTAATGTGGCCTAACTCGCTGCACTTCATGCAATTCTATACCCAATGCCGGTCTTACGAAGCGGTCCTCTCAAGTCCCTCTTTAACTCACAGTGGTTCTCTAAAAGGCCTGCTTCTCTCTTGACCTTTCGCTGATCCCTGAGAAGGACCAGCTTCCTTAGCTTCCCACATTGCAGCAACTCCTCCCTCCTGAGCAGCTATTTTGCCGTGTCCTTGCTCTGTTTTGTCCCCCAAGACTGTAACACCATCTACCTCCTCCTGATTCCCGTCCTGGTCCATGAAAATGAGGTGACCATCCTTCATCCAGTCTTGCGGCAATCTCTTTTTCGCTCCCCCTACTGACCCTCCCTGCACCAAGCTAGCATTCCTTTACTTAGCCTCATAATCTAAGGCCACCTTGCTAAGGGATGTGAAGTTATTCCGGTGGAAGTGGCCTCATTGGGAAGCAGACCTTTGGTATGATCCGGAAGACATGTAAGATACCTGGTAAGTAAGATTTCCATATCATACCGCACTCCTGGCACCGTGATCAGTTTCTCTAACTTTTCTGTGACACTCCTAACATCCCTATTCTTCTGAGTGTCAAGGTTCTCGAGGTTGTCAGTAGTGCCACCTAACTTCTACAAGGGTCATAAACTGATTGAGTGTGACCTTGGCTGCCCATGCTGCCATGTCACGTAGCTTGCCTCTGCTTTCATGCCATCTAACCACCTAGCTGCAGAGCCCTGTAGAAAGGATGCTGCCACTAGAATTTCCTTGTCTAGGTGGGTGTCCATCCGTACAAACACTGGCACAGATCTGAGCCATATGTTCAGGTTCTCTTCTTTCTTTCCATCTGTGAACACAGCTGGCTGCACTGTGGATGTCTTGGTGAATCTGGAGAATGTGACCATCCCCCTGTAGGAGGCAACACTTGTGCCTTAACTGTAGCTGTAGACACCGGAGGTGAAAGAGACTACACCTGGGTCTGAGATGGACCCGGACCTACACCACTAAGTGGAACTACTCCATATCAAGGAACAAACTGCCCTGAAACTGGTGGCAGAACCACTGGAGGTGGCCCTAGAGGACTGGATGTAACGATCGTACTAGCCGGAAACTGTCTTCTTGTTGTCAACTGCCTCAGCATCATCATTATCTGGTACAGGGAAGATTGCATCGAGTCAGATCTACAACCTAAACTATCTCATGTAGGCCCGGAACATTCCGCCTCAGCAATCTGTCTGCTTGTTGCAGACTACTCTCATCCAACCTTTTTTTTTCTTAGAATAATTTATTTGGACTAGGGGACCTGTTGCGGCTACGCCCGCAATAAAAATGAAAAGTTTGCCAAGAAGTTGGTGGACTCTCTCTCTCTCTCTCTCTCTCTCTCTCTCTCTCTCTCTCTCTCTCTCTCTGTGCGTCTTACCTCTTGCGGCTGCGCGCGTGCACGCACCCACTTCCCTTTACTTTTTTTTTTCCCGAAATTACTAGTGTTTCCGGTTTCTTTTATTTCCGAAATCGATCCCTTGTTTTTTGTCTCTCCATTGAACTGATCAGTATGTGAACGGGTTTTCCGTTTTCTTTTCCCTTCTTTTTTAAAGTTCTTGATCGACAACGGATCAGATATGAAACTGACCGGAACAGATACTGCACCTGATCGTGGGGGGATGGTCGAGTTTCTCTCTCTCTCTCTCTCTCTCTCTCTCTCTCTCTCTCTCTC